CTCTCCGTCTCTGCTTCCTCCGCGCGCTGGCGCTGGCGCTTCGCGGATGCTTCCGCCTCCTGTCTGTGCCATTTCCTCATGAACCATGCCGCCCCGTCCTCGACCTTGTTGTACCACACCTCCGGGTCCTTGGCGCTCTCTTTCCATTTACCCCCTTCCTTGTCGTCTCCCATGTTAAAGGCCACGAGGCCCTCTCCTAGACGAGACACCCAGTCTCTCTCCTGCCCGCCCCGGTATCCCACGCCCCCCGCCATCGCTCCTAACAGCATGCGCTTGGGGAGGCGGTTGTCCTCCATGCGCGTAACAAAGCCCGCGAAACACAGTCTCCGTTTGCGCACGGTGGCCTCGATGGTTTCCTCGCAGCCTGCCTGGATGAGGGCCTGGGCATGGGACAGGGGGCGGTCTGAGCGTTTCCGCTTGCTCCAGCCGATGCACCGTGTGAGGAACTGGCGGTGGGTCCCATTGAGCTTCGTGTACATTAACATACATGTACGTATCCTGCATGCAGTCTTCTACTTTGTATGTATAATCTTATATGTACAGCAGCAGTACGTACCTGAACATCTACCAGCACCTTCAGCAGTTACAGCTCCAACGCGGACATGCTGTTGAAATATGCATAGAAGATAGATTCATCCGGTGTAGGCATACCACTGCTGCTGTATACAGGATGCACGTCTTTGCACAGCACACACGTCCGTCCAAGGAACATGTTATTTACTACTCTATGTTAGATGCATCCGCAACCACGTACTACTACAGCTACGGCACTTCTTCTCTACTGCTGTAGGTATTACAAGTACCACTTTTGTCCATGGAACTTTCTGTGCGTCTCTCGCCAGCCTCGATAGGGAAAACGAGGCGACCACTTCTACGGCAGAGCAGCAATGTGTATAGTGTTGAAGTGTAGGCTTATTTTTATATACACTACTGCTACAGCAGAGCTGCGCACAGCGGATAGTAGATAGGCAGGTTTAACGGAATGCCCGCCCGACGGTGGCCTGCCTCCTAGATGTAGTAGATGTAGATTCTGCCGTAGACACTCTTGTCCACGAGCACGTTGAGGTGGGAAGGTTGCTAGTTATTGCAGAAGCGGGTCTGCTACAGGTCTGAGGTGAGGCGGATTGCCCTCAACCTGGGGGCACGCAGATAGCTAAGTCCCGATGGGGTACGTCCTAAGAGGGCATACCTCCTGACGTCCCCCATCTTAATCTAGACCGACTGTGTACCCTATCTGTGCCATACAGCAACACTCCTTAACATTAGCCCACCCTGAAGATCATCTATACAGATTCTTTACTCAAATCCTAAGGCTACTACTAGCTGATGATTTAGGATCATGAATCGAAAGATATGACTCTTCACAAGTGTATCCAAAGGAAAGAAGAGCTGTAGAAATATCCCGACTCGACCCCCCACACCACCATTGAGACAAAAGGTGATTCCGATGACGCGGAAACACAACTAGTGGCAACTCAATGATAAGGTTATACCCATGGAGGGATATAGCTTAGGCAAGATGTACTGCAAAGCACCATGTTTTTGTACAAAAAACAAAATAAATCAGTATCAACGCCACACACCAATCTATTTCGCGCGCAAGCGCGTATTACGACTGGAGGAATGAGGGTGGCGACACAAGAGAGTCCAGAATTACTCCCGCAAAATTCAGTGGGACAGGACGACGGGCACACTACGGCTGAATGCACTGACCACAAAAGGTAAGACTGAAAGAACGTTCATGGCCAAAACGGAAGAGAGGCATTGATTGCCACCCCAACCAACTGCACAAAGAAACGTTGAGTCCAAACCATGTAAAACCAATGGCTCGGCGAGGCACGAATGATCAAAGTCGAAAATTAATGCGACTCAACACCCCATATCTCGCACAGACGGGCGATGATGAAACACAAACACACAACACA